AGGTTCCCTACAATGAGCGCAGGTACAGACTGGTATGCTTTCCGAACCAACTTCTCCACCTCAAGGGCCCACTGCTGCGGTTTTCGTTACTGCGTTGCACGCGGTTTTTGAGCTGCGCACGAAAGACGTGTTCCAGGTGAGCGTCGCCATATCTCGCCTCCAATGCCTCAAGGAGCTGCTCGTAAGTCACTTCCTTACCGAGAGCTTCCAGAATAGTTAAGGCCTGGTCGTGCAGGCCTAGGGTGAGAGCAGTCATGGCCTGACTTTTATTCCAGCCGTTCGCCTTCATGACAGCCTCAAATTGGATTTTGTAGGCCGACCAGGAAGAAGTCCCGTCGAACGGCGGCGCTTTGAATAATCCACCCAGCGAAGGTGTTGTAGCTACCACGGGAGCTGTAATTCCATCTCCAAGTTTGAGGTCGTCTAGCGTTTTCTTCACGTCAGCCATCACGTTGTCAACCCGATTGTACACTTGGTTGATTCGGGTTTCAACTTCCGACAGGTGGTTTTCATATTGAGCAACCCTATCCTTCACCTCCTTTATCTCTTTCCCGAAGGTAGCGTGAAGGTCCTTCATGAGAAGCATCTGCTCTTCCTTATAGCGTTTGAGCTGCTCTTCCAAGCAACGGGCCTGTTCCTCCTGTCCGCGCTGCAGCTGCTCTTCCAACCGACGGACCTGTTCCTCCTGTCCGCGCTGCAGCTGCTCTTCCAACCGACGGGCCTGTTTCTCCTGTCGGCGAGCCTGTTCCTCTTTTCGGCGAGCCTGTTCCTCCTGTCGGCAGGCCTGTTCCTCGTGTCATCGAGCCTGATCCTGCAGCATCATCATTAGAGCACCTAAGTCAGGTGCTGCAGATGCAGGAGCTGCTGACGGGCCGGCCTCCGTGGTCAGCAGCTGGCCCTCCGACGTTTGCGGCGTTGCATTACCAAATCGTATCTGGTCTGTCTCCAGCTGGCGTTGAATTTGGGTACGGATACCCTCCATGTCGTCTTTTGGTAAAATCGGCATGATTTGATCCCACTTCTGACACCAATTGTTACGAGCTTGGGGTTAGAGACAATTAAAAACTGCCGATTGAATTACCAAAATTGACACTTTAATTACAGAACACTAATTAAAATCTAAAACCACACTAATAGCAAAACGCAATCACTTTAGTTCGCAGTTATTTCGCTTCGAAGAATTCTCTTGTATCGCCAATTCAATACCGCCTCGGTCGTGGTCTATACCGGCCTTATATAGGGCCTCAAATAGTTTCCAGTAACTTCTACTGAACTGACATATAGAATGTTCGAGTACATATCGGTCCCGAAATTTCTGGAAGGATCATGACTCTCCTAGTTCTGCTACTCGGCACTAGAGGGCGCTAGTGTAACTAGTGTTGCCATGTACAAAACATTAATAGTGGCGCGCAACAATATCATTAATTTTAAGTCATAATATTATTTGATATTAAGTACCTTAGTGAGTTTTACGATACGCGTCTATGTCGTAAATATGTAAATAATTTAAATAGATTTGATTATCCTGATATACCATTCGAGACCACGTGGGTTCACTACATTACATGATCGTGTTAACTTTCTATTTGTTGATTTGCAAATAAATGTTGGCATAATCTGTAAACATAGATTTATTGTGCATTCAAGTATGTCGATCAAAATGTTTATAATCACTACGTGTCAGTCCATACTGTCCGAGTATACTTATGTAGTTTTTGGTTGATATCGTATTATAAAAGAGGTAAAACAGTGTAATATAATTACTTGTAAACGTTGAAAATGAATCATTATAGGTTAAAGACGCCTTCTCTTGATAAATAATGACTACTTAAAAGATTTCTTTCATTTATTTACGTCGAAACATTACTTACAAAGAATATAGATACCAATGTACAACTTATTTTATATTTAGCATAACATAAAGATAACATATTTAGCATAACATAAAGATACCTACCAAAGATGACCAATAAAAATAATTTTATTTATCACCAAAGTCGCCTTGAGATATTTTCGACATAAACTGTCCCCTGGCTTAAGTTTTTTTTTTTCATCAAAAAAAAACTTCGCAATGTGATTCATCAGCACCAACATATTGTAAAAAAATTTGTGAACAAAATACACGTGAAACTAGGCTCATCATCATCATCATCATTACAGCCCTTCACAAGTCCACTGCTAAACATAGGCCTCCCCCAAAGAATGCCACAAAGCACGGTCCTGAGCCACCTGCATCCATCGACTTCCTGCATGTCTTACCAGGTCGTCACTCCATCTCGTGGGGGGATGCCCTACACTTCGCCTACCGGTACGAGGCTGCCACTCGAGAACCTTTCTTCCCCATCGGTTGTCAGTTCTTCGAGCTATATGGCCGGCCCACTGCCACTTCAGCTTACTAATTCGTTGGGCTATGTCAGTTACTCTGGTTCTACTGCGGATATCTTCATTCCTAAGTTTATCACGCAGAAAAACTCCGAGCATAGCCTTCTCCATAGCTCGCTGAGCGACCTTGAGCTTCCTCATACGGCCAGCAGTGAAGGACCACGTCTCAGTTCCGTAAGTCATCACTGGCAACACGCACTGGTTGTACAATTTCGTTTTAAGGTTTTGAGGTATGTCTGACGAGAAAATGTGTCGTAGCTTCCCGAACGCTGCTGAAATTTCGACGGAATCAAAGGCTTTCTCATAGTTCACATACGCCAGACATAGTGGCAAATTGTACTCCTCGGACTTCTGTACAATTTGCCGAAGGGTATGTATGTGGTCTATGGTGCTAAAGCCCTTTCGGAAACCGGCTTGTTCGGGAGGCTGGAAGTCGTCAAGTCTGCGCGCGAGACGATTCGTAATGACTCTCGAAAACAGCACGTAGACGCGGCTCAGAAGGGAAATCGGTCTGTAGTTCTTCAAGATAGCGTTGTCGCCTTTCTTGAAGAACAAGACCACCGTACTTCTGCTCCACGCCTCCGGTGTAATGCCACCATGGAGGACGGAATTAAAGAGCTTCTGAAGGACTTCAAGTACCAGTTTTCCACCCGCTTTCAGAAGCTCCGCTGTAATTCCATCCTCGCCTGGGGCCTTGCCGTTTTTAAGGTGCTGGAGAGCCATTCTAATCTCGCTCAGACCGACGTCCGGGATATCATCGGAATAATATCGGATAAGACTCGCTCTTGGATCGTTACTCACACTTGCGTGCGGCTCCAACGATGACGTGTAAAGCTGCCCATAGAACCTCTCAATCTCACTCAAAATCTCAGGTGCCCCGGAAACGATGCTGCCACATTCGGTCTTCAGCTTTGACAGTTGGCTCTTTCTGGCAGGCAGATCTCTGGCAAAGACTTTGGAGCCTTGGTTCCGCTCGATCGCTTCTTCAATACGAGCTGTATTGAGGTTGCGTAAGTCCCGCTGCATGCATTTGGAGATCTGTCTGTTCAGTTGCCTGTATGCTGTCAAATCTGTTGAAGAATGTAGCTTCATCTCCCGTCTAACAGCCATGAGAATAAGAGTGTGATCGGAGAGTTTTTGTGTTCGTCTGCTGCGGGTTTTGCAGAACTTAACTCCGACCGCATGGACAGTTTCAACGAGCTTGTCATTCATATCGTCCACTTCATTGCAGTCTTCTAGGCACTAAAAACGGTTTTGTAACTCGAGCTGAAAGGTTTCGAGACTTTGGAACAGAGCACGAGGGGGACAGAGCGTTGACTTCATTAGACGAGACCTCTCCAACTTAACGTTTAGGTTCAGTGTGCCTCTAACCATTCGGTGATCGCTGCCGGTTTTCACCCTCGCGATCACTGAGACATCACTGAACAGTTGTCGTCTGGTCGTCATAATGAAGTCAATCTCATTTTTTGTGGAACCGTCGGGGCTCGACCAGGTCCACTTCCTGTGGGACCGCTTCTGGAAGAAAGAGTTCATCATAAAGAGTCCCTCTTTCTCCATGAAGTCGACCAGCTGCTGGCCCCTTGGGTTCCGTTGCCCTATTCCAAATTTCCCTACTTTCAGCTCACCGTTCTCTCTTGTGCCTAGTTTTGCATTGAAGTCTCCCATTAACACCGTATATTGGGTTTTGGAGGAATGCATGGCTCTAGAGATATCCTCATACATTTCCTCCACCTCCTCATCGGGGTGTGCCGAGGTTGGTGCGTAAACCTGTATGACCTTCAGCGAATACCGTTTAGTGATTCTGAGTATAAGGTACGCAACCCTCGTCGACACACTCCCGATCTTTACAACGTTGTTAACGAGAAACTTGTGGACGATAAATCCGACACCTCCTTGGGACAGATGGTCGCCCTCCCGGTGATAGAGCAAGTTGCCGGATTCGAGTATTACCGTGTCCTCCCCCTCACTTCGGACTTCGTATAATCCTATAATATGCCAGCGCAACTTGTCTATCTCTTCTTTCAGCTCCACGATCTTCTCGTCAGTCCTCAGGGTGCGTGCGTTGTACGTTGCCAGGTCGAGTCGTCTAAGGTGGCAACCGAACCTCCACCGGAGATTCTTAGCACCCCCTGCCCCGCCGTTACCATGGTCGCCACCGTAGCCAGGAATAGCGTGGCCGCCGGGGACTGGGGGCCGTCTGTTTGATGCTTTAATTATTGGGGGGTATTTGCCATAGTTACCACGCTTGGCGAGCGGGTTGCTAACCGCAGTTTTTTTATTGTAATTTTGGCTATTATCAGGAAGATGCAGCTGCCCATCTCCTACCTGTTTCCCTTTGTCGCCTTTTACGACACCCACGGGAGGATATGGGGTAGTGGGTATTCTTGACCGCCACTACACGGTGTATGGGCTGGAATGGGAATGGGAATAATGGGAAACTAGGCTGTATGGGCATAATACCCTTTATATATAAAACAAATATCACTGTTAGTGTCAATGTCACGTGTGTCAAGTTTGACAATTATGGCAGTAAACACAACATTGCACGTGTTTTTATTAAATGATTAAAGCTTTAGGTTATTCAATAAAAAAGCAATTAATGTTAATAATCAAACAACATGAATCAAAAGAAAGTTTTGCACAAACCTTCATTATCGTATACAAGCCATCCTGACTATCGCAAACCTCCAAAAATTGCCAATCCTGTAAGTTTATTGTTTATCGTTATTTTTTGTAGTAAGGTAAAATTTGACGGTGTAAAACATGAACAATATTTAATCTTACTTTCAATCTTCTTTGTAGTACCTCCAATGCCTTGGGGCGCCACACGTCGATTCTTTCAACTATATGCTCCATGAAGGATTAAAAGCGGCTTTAACAGATCTGGTTCCTGCCGAATTTGAACTACCTGGTGGGGAAAAAGTTAAAATCACAATCGATGAAGCTGCATTCGCGAAACCAAGTGTTCCAATGGATGTAGTCGGAGTTAAAAACCAAAGAGTCCTCCCTACAGAATGCCGACAGAGAGCAGCTACATATAAGGGAGATTTTAAAATTAGAATGACATTTACTGTGGACAATAAGTCAATGACAATTGATAGATCTTTAGGAAACCTTCCTGTCATGATAAAGGTATGAATATATAACATTATAAGTAAAATAGTTACCTAGTATTAAAGCAATAGCAAAGATGACTGACACAATATTGTTTTACCCCCATTTTGAGGAACGATGATCTTTTAAAATCAGGAAATCCAAGTAGGTAAATGGCTCTACTGTATGATGGATTAGTAAATAATAATAATAATAAATAAATAAATGCTTTATTTCTTTAAGATTACAAACAAATAGTAGATGGGAATTTTATCCAGAGGCCGTTGTGAGAGATGACTATGGCATAAAACCTATCCTATAAAAATCCTTAATTAGGCATTGTTACCATTACAGCCTAAAAAAGCTACTAATTTAAATAATATAGTATTTAAGGAAGTATTTTTGTTCTAATATTATATAAAAAATCCAAAAAGTTTAGGTTTAATGTTTCAGTTCATTATTAAATAACCACCATACCATATATATAAAATACACCACAGGACAATTGGACGGTACGTCTTTCCATTGACGTCCATCGAGTTTGGTGTTGATACATATTTTTACAGAACGATTACATTTTTATAAGCACACACACAAAGTTTCAATATGCGGAAACACATACTTTTTGAGAAAAAAATATTGAAAATCAAATATTTTTGCAATATTTATGTCAATTCTTACCGTGAAACTGACGCCATTTTTTATTATTATTGTCAGTAGGGATGTTGATTCTTTCCGAAAAAGATCAATTTTTTAAATAGATTCGAATTGTAAGCTGATGTATCGATTCCCAAAAAATCGATTTATTTCTAAAATATCTATATTTTGTTCATGTTTGCATTTGTAATGTAAATATAAATCCATTTTATGAGAAAAAAATTCCCTTCATCATTAAAAAATAAGGGGACTGATTCAGAAGGATTTCTGTATCTATTTTGAAACTGCTACGTCTCCGGCGCTGCGGGAAGAGCAGCCTCTACGCCTTAGCGTAACAAATCGTAGGCATCGGACGAGCCGCGGAGTCGAGGCGATCATAAAAAAATAAGGGGACTGATTCAGAAGGATTTCTGTATCTATTTTGAGACTGCTACGTCTCCGGCGCTGCGGGAAGAGCAGCCTCTACGCCTTAGCGTAACAAATCGCAGGCATCCCTCCTCGCCCCCGCAGTTTCGGCTTGTTGGTCACCTTCGGCGACCAGCCTCAGCCGTTCCGGCTGGTCCGATGCCTACGATTTGTTACAGCAGGCGGAGGCTGCTCCCCCTAAGCACCTCCGGCTCTATAAAACCACTCTAGGGGTAGGACAGACTCGTATCAGGTGGAGTCGGGGTCATTCAATTCGGTTCTTTGACATAAGTGGAACCTAACCTATTTTATTCCTTATCTGCTCTAATAGGTACTGTTAAAATAAAACAAATTTCAATAAGAGATCATTTATCATGGTATCTTTCTTGTTTTTCATAAAATGGGTTTATATTTACATTATAAATGCAAAAATTAAAAAAATATAGATATTTTAGAAATAGATTTTTTGTGCACTGATACATCAGCTTACGATTTTTTTTTTTGGTTAAAAAAAAAAGTTACCCCCACACTAGGATTTTCTCCTGTATCGTGGAGGCAGTTTACAAACACAAATTTCACAAGGACAAACATCCAGACCCGGAGCAATGATTTGTAGGCCATACAAATACTTGTTCCATGCGGGATTCGAACTCGCGCCCCCCAGCGCAGCAACTCATTGCTAAGCCACTGCGCCACGGAGCCCTCATTCAGATTTGAATCGATTTAAAAATCGACCTTTTTCGAAAAGAATCGACAACCCTATTGACGTCGACAATGACATTACAAAATGGCACCAGTTTTACTGTAGGATTAGACATAAACATTGCAAGAATAATTGATTTTCAATAGTTTTTTTCTCAAAAATTACGTTTTTCTGCATGTTGAAACTTTGTGTGTGTGTGCTTATAATAGTGTAACTTTTCTGTAAAAATACATATCAACACCCAACTCGACGGACGTCAATGGAAAGCTAAGCCCAATTGGTCTCCTATCAACAGTAATTATGTATGCATTGCAAGCATTATTTTACAAATTTAAATATCATAACATAAACACTCACACCTGTCACCCAGAGTGGTAGGTAGAGACTATGGACTTCCATTTGGTACGATCCTGACACACCTCTCTCACTTCCTCCACATCCATATACCTACACATACATGCTCGTCGGTTAAGGGTACTCTTAATTTGGCCCATTTTCAATATATCGCCAATTTGGTCAATAAACTCATTATTTTATCTATATTTATGTCTCTATCTATTTGCTCTTCTTTCGGAAGTTCTATTTCATTTAATTCAAACGTCTCATCACTTGTAAACATGCTTTCAAAGTATTCCTTCCATCTCCTTAAACTCGAAACTTCGTCATTCAGAATACAACCATTCTGGTCTTGTATAGCATTTGTTCTAAGCTGTTTTGAAAGTCCCCTGGCAGTTCTTACGAGTTTCCAGTACATTTTAAGATTTGCCTGGAAATTATCAGATATTCTTCTATCATTCTTATCCGTGCTTTCTTGCTCTCTCCTTTCAATTACTTCTTTTACTCTTTTATTGAGATGTCTAAAGACTGTCCTTTTTTTTAATAGGATCATTCATACCGCTAGAATTATTAGCCTTGGTTGCTAGTAAATCTAGCCATGCTTTGTTCTTTGCTTCAACTTCCATCTGTACCTCACCATCCCACCATAACGTGTTATTTTTCCTTTCATTTGTTCTGTCGTAAATTCTGTCGTTAAATATCACTTGTAAAGTGTTAAACACAAAAATCCAAAAATTTGTAATTAATTTTAAATTGTAATAAAATTATTATTTTTCAGAAATGTTTATAAATATATAGAGATGCACATTATAATAGACTAATTTTTTCAGTCTAAAATCTGCCACTTGGCCGACCTGTCACCTGAAGAACTAGTTCAACACAATGAACATGCAGATGAATGGGGTGGATATTTTATAATTAAGGTATACATTAAACATTGTAAAATATTACCTGCCCTCTTTCTGATTAACTAATGACACCAAAAAACTTAGAGATTATCTTGTGATTAAGTTTATAATTTAATGTTTGGCTTATACTATATTTGGATCATCATCATCATCCACAATATAACAGCCCTTCACAAATCCACTGCTGAACATAGGCCTCCTCTAAGTAGTAATGCCATAAATATTTGGATAATAACTATTAATGCCTTTCAGTGTGAAAGATAATCCACTACCCACTATCATCCCGGTAAGAGGTGACAGAAGGAATCTGAACCAGGAGATGGGAGCAGCATCTTCCTAAAAATGTTAAAAGTAATAAAATTTGCAGTTGGCAACTAGTTTAAAAGCGTGGCAGCTATGGCAGTTAGCCCCTCTATGAGACAATCTATGGAGGAGGCCTAAGCTCAACAGCAGACTTTGAAAGTCTCTAATGATGACAATGATGAATAATCAGCAGTTTTTTCCATCTCTGTTGGATGGTGGATAAATGTTTTTAATGTAAAGCTGTAGTGACAAACGAATTTAAAATCCACCTGATGGTAAATGGCCACTGCAATCCATGGTCACCTGCAACCAATTTTCAAACAAAGACATAGTAGATCGGGGAAAAAGTTTCTTCATATTTTGTTTGTATAAAATTGAGGAAAAATCTCTATGGTTGTACTATTTTAATATCAATACATATAGGACATTAAAAAAAAGAAAAATAAAAAGATTAAAACACTTTCGCGAAAAATATTTCAATTTATTTTCTGTCCCCCAAAATGAGTGGATCTAACGAAGATAATGAAAAAATTTGTGACGTTTATGGACTTAATGCAGTGTCAGAAGAGTAGCACAAAGTTGGTTCAAGCGTTTTCAGTCTGGGAATTTTGATGTTAAAGATGCGAAAAATTTTCTGCAACAACGAGATTATGTCACTACCTACAAGATGGCAACAAGTTATCGAACAAAAGGACGCAGAGACTTGGTTGTTTGCAACACGTGTTAAAGTCAACTGGCTCATACTTACTTAGTAATTTTTACTTGAAATGTGAAGTTTACAATTTTTTAATCATATTTAATATTTATTTCTAGGGTCATGAGCGATTAGCACGTATGTTATTAGTAACTCGACGAAACTACCCAGTGGCTATCAAGCGTTCTGGATGGAGGATGAGAGGCAACTTGTTCTCGGACTACGGCGTACTTGTAAGATGTGTGACGCCAGATCAGACCAGCACTGTACGAAGTGAAAGTTTTCTTATACTTAAATTACTATTTTTAGGGTTTTTAGGGCAAGGAAGAGTCCGCCGCGCCGCCCCAATGCGTGTAAACGAACTTCACATATCCTCGAAATATTTTTTGTCTTATTTTTCAGACATGCAGGTTTCCCCACTATGTTTTCCTTCACCACCGGGCACTTAGTAAATCAGAACTTAAAATTGCAATTAACAATTTCATTGGTGCCGACGGGGATCGGAACCAGGTTGCTCGCGTACTGTGAAACTTACAGTGAGCGCTAACCATCTGATGCATAGTGGAATATCAAATTTAAAAAAACTTACAAAAAAGAGGATTCATGCAGTTTCTTTCACTGTTTCTTCTTCAGTCTGAGGAAGCTCATTCCAAAATGTATGTAGTTTAGGAGGTTAATAAAAACATGGCATTTAATAAACAATATTTTTTTTCTTATGTTGAAGAAAAAAAATGTTTCTATTTGCATTTCATTTCATATGTACTACGGCAGTGGCAACTATGGCGAAATCATTATAAGGCAGTTTATAAGAGAGGCCTATGTTCAGAAGATATGTGTTCACATTCATTTCTAGTGACCCGTCCATTCAAGTATTGATTTGGCTTATGAACCGGGGTCATTTGAGTTGATCATTCAAATTACTCTATGATCAGTGAGACCCGCTCGATAATGTCGGCCGTTGGACATTACTATACTCTTTGTTCCTAGGTCCTGTGAACCGTTTGATCTGGAACTTTAATTTAATTGCAATCATCAGTACTTCGATGCGAGCCGGGTCAAATGAACGAATCATTCACGATTGACACATGTCTATGTTCAGCAGTGGACTTTATGTGAGTGTCTATGTTCAACAGTGGATAGGCTGTAGTAATAAATGAATAATTATAATAATAATATGAGAGAATATTGTATCACTTGTTTCAGAACAATGTTCTTCACTTTCTACAAAACGGTTCTTGCAAGCTTATGTTTTCTCACCGTAAGACGATGTATTATGCCCCAGTGCTGCTTATAATAAAGTGCCTTGTGGATTGGACGGATCACTTTATATACAGACTGCTTTTGCATGGAAAAAAGAATGATTTGTATTATGTTAAGTGAGTATACATATCAAACCTCTCATGTGCCGGAAAGCGCTAATGTAAACACTGATATCTTTTTAATTTTGTATACCAGCTATGTATAAAACTTATACGCATTGATTTGTTATGAATTAAGTGATTTGATTCTACTTTATAAAATTAAATTCTATTTTTATAATATCAATCTCGGTATATATATATATATATATATATATATATATATATATATATATATATATGTTTATATATATATATGTATATATATATATATATATATGTTTATATATATGTATGTATATATATACACATATATATATATATATATATATATGTTCGCGCCAAACGCTGTTGTCGGAATCGACGTCTAGGGGGCGCGACGCTCGGTGCCATATCGGTTTTGACGTCGCTCGAGCGGTGGGGTTGAGAACGCGTAAAGGTGCAGGAGAGTCGTCTGTCAGCGGTGCTAAAGTTAGCACGCTGTCATTTTTGTCGGGAAGTCGGAATAATTAGGCGCGGCCAGTAAATATACGGTCTACCGTTGTGACGCGCATTCCTGCTGGAGAGCTTCCCAGGGACTCATTGTGTCTGACTCAGAATCTGCATAAGTGCATTCGGCAATATTAGCTAGTGCGGACTTTGATATTCTAGAAATAACTGTTGCTAAGCGAAACGGTAGTGACCTTTCATCCGGAAACTCCGTGTGCGTTTTGTGCGTTAACCTTATACCCAACGAGAGTTAATTGACTGTCATCGTGACGAACGAGAAAATTGTCTGTGGACCACGCCGCGGAAGGTTCCCTCAACTTGGAGCGGTGTCGACGCCCGGGCTGCTGCCGACGGCCATGGTCTAGGGTCAATCACCATCAGTCACACCCAGATACACATCACATCACCTTATTTCCCTTGCACTACACAACCACATGCGACCTGACCGACTCCGGAGGGACCAGTCGCCTTGGATATAGGTAAGTAAGCTCCGTCTAATATCCTTCCGGTCGACTGGCCGTAGTATAGAACGCTCCCCATATAGTTTAGTGTAATTAAAGAAATTCCACGTGGCCATATTCTGACCCCGTCCCACTGCTGTTCGTCGATGGGATTACTCATGGGCCCTAATCCCGTCACACTCTGGTTGGGGCAGCTAGGGGCGTGTACAATATACATATATATATATATATATATATATATATATATATATATATATATATATATATATAATTTTGTCGATTTATTGTACATAAAGTGTAAGGATTATGAAATTAAGCCATTATATAAAAATGGATTTGTTTTATTTGCATAACAATACAACATTATATCAAAAGAGATTAAAAAAAACCACACCCCTTCAATACATTTTTTTCACACCATAAACATTTTAATATCTACCTCCTTTTACGAGGCAAAACAAAAATCGGTAAAAAAAATGGAAAATGTTCAATTCGAGAACGTTTGAAATCGTTACATTACAGTCTTGTCTTTAATCTATGTTGTTCAAACATTAAAACAGCGTTTTATATTGGACACACGGGGTGGGCTGACACACGGGCATGCACAAGCTGTCTGCCCCCTGCTGGTGTCATGACACCTGAGGGGCTTATACTGCAATCTCAGCACCTCCTCAACTTCTTAAATAATACAACAAAAAGCTGATAAAATTTCTCCTATCGTATACTTGCCAATTTTAAATCTTAAATCACTCTTGCTTAACATATTTAGAAGATTTAATATAATGATATGTAAAGAGAGCCTTGTCCGAGTGAGGGTACTTTCATGTATTGTGATATGATTTTGTTCATGTAATCCTTTTCAGTGTTTAACCATGTCGTGGTGGTGTAAGAAAATCCATTGCCCCATATCATCCCGTGAATGTCGTAAGAAACGACGAAGGGAAACAAACCAGGAGACTGGCAGTAGCGTCTTCCTTACAACAACGGAAAAATATAACCTGTGGTTGCAAACTGCGAAGTGTCGCAACTATGGCATACATCCCCCCAATAAAAATCAAGGGGGGAAGACTAAACTTTTGATAGGATGTAGCGGTAATCCTTTTCAAATAATAAATTAAAAAATTATACATCATAAATTTAATTAAATGGGGAAACTTATAGGAATACATGCGATGCGGACGGCCGAATAAGGGTGACAAGCGAGCACACAGTCCACCTTATGGTAAGTGGTTGCTGTGGCCCACGTTTGCGTTTGCGAATAAAATGCAGAAGCGTTGTCAGCCGTGAGGACTAAAATGGAATAACTCTTATCCAGTAAAATGGGCTTCCGGTTCTCTACACCAAACGTAACACAGCAGCATGAAGCTGCTATTTTACGCTGGTATTTCGTGAGAGCGAGGTCCATCCCCGGTCAAGCCGACCCATTTGTGCTACAACTATACTATTAATATAGCTGCAGCATGGCTCCACCACGTATAAATTGTTTAATGTTGTTGTAATAATTTTTTTTTGTTAATGTATTGCGATACCAATGTGCCCCTTTCGGATTGGACAGGGTTTCTTTTTATAAATTATATGTATAAGATATTAAACAAAACTTTTCCAATTTGCAGTTGCATTCAAAACATGCTTCGCGAGCTCCACGAGGAAGGTCTCCACACTTCGGAAGAGTGCAGGTCTTACCTCGGTAGAATGTTCCGGCCAAAACTGACAGAGTTGCCTCCGTGGGCCTCTGACACAGATGCTGCAGACTTCCTTTTAAAGAGATGTGTCATGATACATCTTAAGGAGTACAAGGATAAAGTCTATTCATTGGTATACATGGCCCAGAAGCTGTATGATGTGGTGCAGAATAAATGTAAAGTAAGTTTATATATTGTTTTTAAAATAAAGAAGTGTCAGTAGGCTAATAGCAGGGTGCGGACCGCGAACTTGAAAGATCGTGGGTACGAAACCGCCATTCGACTACTGTCGTGAACCACTTCTAACACATGTATTTTAAGCTTACCAGGAGTGGTTAAAGGGAATATTAGTAATGTTTAGTAGCATTACTAGTATTTTTTTAACAAAAAAAATTCATGGCCTATCATAAGTCCACCGCTGAACATAGGGCTTCCCCATTGTCTCGTAGAGGGAATATTTGCCATAGTTGGCAAGAGGGTTGGCAACTGCAGGTTTTATTATTTTGGATAAATTGACCCTGGTGACGTAATACACCTTTTTGTACCTACATCAATGTCTCACAAGTTCGGTACCTATCTGGCACTGCCCTAATACTTAGCATTAACATAACATATTGTGAACAGAGAATAAATGGAATCGTTCATCCATTACTCTGGGCTAATAATCTCGCGCTCACCAGATGTCGATAGTTGGTACTGAGGTGAACTTATATGTTACGCAGATAGTCACACATTACTATCGTCATTAAAAGTTGCGTTTTATTTATAAGTTTTACGATGTTTAGTGTATATACGGGGTTATTTTTCAACATACGCCCAAATTCGCGGAGAATTTTCAGAATAAGCAATATATAAAATATATTTAAAAAAATCTCAAACATTCTGTCCTTTTTGAGTTTTAAATTCAGAATGCGTGGTAATGCATTATTTTAACTGATTGTAATTCATAAATATTTAACGCCTACTATTTTACTACGCACGCACACATTCGTAAAACTCGCTCGATCTGCAAATAAGTTGTGAATTGAATCTTACACAGAGGCGCGCGCGGACGTGTAGTTGTTGCCCATAAATCACATTCAATTTGGGATAATTTCAAATAAAAGTAGCCTTATTTACTCATATTTTCAAAAACTGCAATATCAGTATATCATTATTTATATATTTGAATTTAAATACAAAATTTGGATACTCTGTAAAAAATAACCCTGTATATACACAAAAGAATGCTTTAGTGCCGTATTTCTTAACTTTTACCACATTTTTAAGTTTTTTTTAAATTCGTATGCCTTTAGGAATATCTGTAGTTTTTGGTTTATCGATTTCTAATGTAATTAATATAAATATAACTAATATTTTAAAAAAATATTAATCTCTACACATTTCTAACAAATTAACTTCCCCAGCTATAAAATGTGTCAAATATTTTATTCGAAAGTGGCGCTTCCCTGGTGATAGAAAAATTCGTGGACCCATCATTTACAGTGTATTTTTTTCTTGGCAGGTAGAAGGAGCCGATGCGGTCATGGTACAAGAACTGCAAGTGGGCGGCCATTTATACCTTCAAGTGCTGAAAGAGCGGCTACAGACTCTGTTATACGTTGTCAAGGCAAATATCTTGAAACGTGTGAAGACAGCCAAAAACTTTGTCATGAGTACGGTAAGTGATTTTAGTTTAGATGTTATTTTTTATTTATTTACATTATTTTACGTTAAAACAAAATCTAAGTGTCTGTGTGTAATATAGAAATAAAAAAACATGCGTGAATGTCGTGGAACACTCAGTTGGAACGAAGTCCCTTTCGTAGTATATTATTATTGATTAAAATTAATACAAATAAATGAATTTAGTATAGTATATCTAGTGGTATCAAAGTGGTGGCTTCAAAGGACAGCGCGCGCGCATCGCTGTGTTAACATCATATAACGTTAGCTCCGGTTTAAAAAATAATTATTGTTGTTAAAGTTTATATTTAAACTTAAATTTTATGCATGTGAAATTGTAAAAGTGAAACTGGACATTATATTGAAATAAAGTGATTTTTAAAGACAAACATTACAAAGTGAGACAAGTAAATTATTTTGCAAAACAGTGGACTTTGATACCAAAACCACTGGCGCGTTGTAAATGAAACGTATGCTTTTACTTTATACCCACTTGTGTGACTTGCATAAAGTTAGTTTGTTTATTTGTTGAGATCTCTTGATAAGATCTAAATATGAAATGCTTAGCATGTCCGAATTCTATTGAGCGGGGAGAATTATTAGGATGTGTCACGTGTAAAGGAACTTATCATTACAGATGTTTGAATATTACAACGGCAAAATTTATGGGCAATTTCCAACAACTCAAGAGAACATGGAAGTGCCCTACTTGTACAAATGTCACTAAAAGACGACACAGAAATGATGACACACCATTAAAAATAAATTGTGAAGAATCTTCTCCCCCAGATTTAGTCGACACGTCCGGTGGTGATAATATTTCGCAGACAGAGGATAGTAACGAACAGTTGTCCCCGAACATGGAGCTTCCTGGAGTGCCAAAGGTGAATACTTTTTCATTTTCCCTAGAAGAAATTGGTAAATTGCTGGATCATAAACTAGATTCGAAACTCAAAAGCGCACATGTTTGTCTAGCCACAGAAATCAAGCAAGAGTTTCGTGACGTTTTAAAGAATTTAGAAAGTGATTTCAAACAAATTACTGAATCCATAACACAAGAAGTATGTAGCTTAAAGCAAGAGGTCAGTACCCTTAGTGAAAAAGTTCAGGCACTCGAGAATGAAAACATATGTATTCGCAAAGAAATTGAATCGTCTCGTCAAACTGCTCAATCAAATACACACTTGGAGAGTATTGTTGCAGAGTTACAGCAGCAAATAACCTACAAAGACCAGGAAGCCCTGCTAAATGATGTCGAAATAGTCGGAATACCAGAATTTTCAGGTGAAACACCAATGCATATTGTGTTGACCGTTGCCTCTAAACTAGGAGTATCTCTAACGGAACAAGATATAGTTTACGCTGAACGCGTCGGTCGCCGTTTAAATTGGCCGGCTAAAGATATGCGAACAGGTAACCAAAACAGCTCATCAGTTTCTGTTAGTGCGCGCCCCTTGGTTGTAAGATTAACGCGTCGTGCGTTGCGCGACCACTTAATAAAGAATGCTCGAGTGCGCCGTACGCTTACTACGGTAGACCTAGGATTGTTACCTCACGAATCAAGTACGTTTTATGTTAATGAACGATTAACCAAAACAAACCGTATTTTATTTGCTAAAACACGTGAAATGGCTCGAAATTTAAATTGGAAATTTGTATGGACAAAGGGGGGTCGTGTTTATGTTAAGCGTGAAGACTCTCCAAATATTTATGCGCGCATAGTAAACTCTGAAATGGATATTGAACGTGTTTTTGGTGTACCCTGTTCAAAAACTTCTAAATAATGTTAAATGTATTTTGGGGCTCCTTACTATTTTAATTTTGTTCATTTTGTTTGATAATATTATACTTTTGATTATACCTTACACTTTCATATACCTTAAATGTTATTCCATACTTTTTAATTACTATGTTTTATACCACTTTTTATTATATCTTTATTTGGCAGTAGTTTACAGTAGCGGTAGTGTATTTGTAGTGGTACATAATTTAACTTTAAGTGCTAACAAAGGTTCTGTCCTGCAGTATCTATATTATTGCGTAAACATTTTTATGATTTTGGTAAATTCTATGGAATTGTTTACCGTAATTTTAGCTTACTTAATTAGTTCTACTTACTTTGTTTTGTTAGCTGGTACAAGTATAAAAATTTGTTGTTATTATTTTGAATATTTTTTAAATAATTATTTTTACCTTTTTTTATTACTATTTTTGTACGAATATTTTGTAAATTTCTTTGCTTTGTTTGTTGATATTTTGAAAATGACTTTATTTTTAATATGCATACCGATGCTAGCCTGTTCAAGTTATAATATAATATGTTCCTATAAATATTCCTTACTTATTTGTGTTCAACATACAGACGATTATATATATGAAATGATTATACTTACAAAAATATTATTACAACATGGCTACTACTAAAAGTAAAAGTTTAAGAGTTGGCCTTTATAATGCTGGGTCGATCAGAAGCAAAAGCGATGAGTTTCAGGCAGCTCTGCTATGTGAATCTGCTGATATTATGGCGATAAACGAAACGTGGCTACGAGCTGGTGAAGATGCGAGTGCTCCGTTAGTTCCTGGCTATCGCTTCAGTCATATTCCCCGTTCTTGTAACCTATCTAGGGCACGTGGTGGTGGTGTTGGTTTTTACGTCAAACGAGGGATTAATGCTCGTTCTTATTCCCATAACATTATCTTTGAGGAGGTGGAGCAGCAGTGGCTGTCGCTATCCATTAACAAAGTTAAGCTTTTAATTGGAACGGCATATCGACCACAATGGGTAAATGTCGAAAAGTTCTTTGATTCTCTTACAGACATTTTAACTTCATATTCAAATTTTGATAATATAATTTTGTTAGGAGATTTCAATATAAATATTTTGGATGAAAGTGACAACAAAACACAACAGCTTAATCAATTTTTGCAGTATACTAGGTTGAAAAACTGTATTTTTATACAGTTTACATAAAATACAGTTTTTCAACCTACCCATTTTACGCAAGAGAGTGCTACATTAATTGATTTAGTAATGACGGACGCTAGTGTGACAAATACTCGTGTAAAATATACTCCTGAACTTGGTGGTCATGCTATCATTTTAGTCGATTTTAAAATTAAAAAGCATAAGGCAGCAAATTATAAGACCTATAAAAATATCAATCTGTCAGATTTTGAGTCGGAAGTTGAATCCATAAACTGGGATAGCATTACGAGGTATAATTATGTGAACGATATGGTTTCTGTTTTTTCCAAACGCATTTTAGAGCTGTTTGATAAACATGCTCCAGAGAAACTAATAACTATCCGTAAGAAACAACTGCCATGGTTTACGAGTAATGTTAAGTACATTATGCAGCTCCGAGATGACGCTCACAATAAATATCGTCGCACAAAAACTGAAAAAGATAAAATTCAATACAAAACCCTAAAAAGTCTAGTAAACAGCAGTCTTTATGCTGAGAAGAAGGCATATTTTGATTACCACATTAATCAACATCTACATAATACAAATGTTCTATGGAAAAATTTGAAGTCATTCGCGTTACCGTCATTTAAAAATTCGAATGACTTACCAGAACACTTTAGTGATCCTGACGAAATTAATCGTCACTTTTTGAGTATACCGGGAACAAATAATATCGTCAAATCATTTAATGTAAGGAATCTGGAAAGCAGAAACTGTATCTCTAATACTTTTAGGTTAATACCAGTTCATGAAAATGTGGTTGCAAAAATCATAATGGGTATTAAGTCAAATGCTCAAGGTGTTGACCGCATTAATATGGATATGATAATTTTAACGCTTCCGAGAACTTTAAATGTTATCACTGCAATTATTAATAAATCCATAACAGAATCTCTTTTTCCTTCTTCTTGGAAAACTGCACTTATTCGTCCAATACCTAAAAAAAAGTAACCCAACAAATGTAGGTGACCTAAGACCCATTAGTATACTGCCTTACTTATCAAAAATACTTGAGAAAGTTGTTTACTCACAAGTAATAAATTTCTGTGAGAAAAATCAATTAATACCCAACCTACAATCAGGTTTTAGAAAAAATTACGGAACAGCAACAGCTCTTATTAATGTCGTGGATGATATATTATCTTTTTCGGATTCTGGAGAAGGTACTATTCTCACTTTATTAGATTTTTCAAGGGCCTTTGACTCAATTAACACAAACTTACTGATTTCTAAGCTTTCATATTATGGTTTTGATAATGAAACACTCAAGTGGTTTAAAAGTTATTTAACTGACCGATATCAACAAGTAATTTTAGACAGGCATAATGGTAAAAACTTTATTTCTAAGCTTCTTCCTGTTGATAGAGGCGTTCCTCAAGGATCTGTGTTAGGGCCTTTGCTTTTTATTATTTACAGTGCTGATATAATAAACTGTCTCAAAAACTGTAAATACCATCTATACGCTGATGATTTACAGGTATATATTCCCATAGATCGAAAAAATATTAACACATTAGTAAATAAGTTAAATCAGGATATTCAACGTGTTTGCGATTGGTCACAAAATAACTCCATGGTTCTCAATCCTTCAAAGTCAAAATTCCTTATAATTGGCACTAAAAAGCAGGTACATGATATAGCTATAACTGAACCTGATATACGTGTTAATGGAGAGACAATTGCACAAGTTCATAAAGCACGAAATTTAGGCATTCTTTTTGATAGCAATTTGAGGTTTGAAAATCATGTGATTAATTTGGTACAAAACTGCTTTTACAGGTTAAAAGTTTTATATAAATTTAGACCATTTATCACAGTTAATTTACGTGTAAAGCTTTGTGAAACCCTAGTTTTAGCTAAATTAAATCATTGTATAACTGTTTATGGACCTTGTTTGCTTAAAAAATCACAAAAATTAATCCAGAGGGTACAGAATGCTTGTGCTCGCTATTGTTTTTACATACCGAGACGAACTCATGTTACATCATATCTTAATAACTCGAATATGTTAAAAATGCAGGGGCGTC